CTGGCGTGCGGGAGGCCCCGAGCCAGGGCGGGCGAGTGCCCGGTGGGCGGATGTCCGTGGCCTCAGGAGGGCAGTGACGAGGGACGGGGCTGCCGAGGCCCCGGGGCGTGGTGGCCGCGCCCCTCCCCTGCAGGCCACCGGGCAGCCGGGGACCCCGTGGGCGTGGGCTAGGGGGTCCCTGTGGGAGCTTGACCGTGATGGTCCCTCAGGGGCTCAGTGGGCGACTGGCGCTTGTCCGGTCCCGTGTTGGGGCTCCACTGAGCTTCCCGCCGCTCCCCCGCCAGGCTACACCCCCGCGATCAAAGGGCAGCTGCTGCACGTGGACGCCACCACCAGCATGCAGTACCGTGCCCTGCTGGAGGCCGAGATGCTGGCGGTAGGCGTCCCCGGGCGTCCCCGCGGCCCATCTGCACCCGCACTAGCCGCGGCACTGGGGTGAGGTGGGGGCCCCCGCCCGGCCGGGGAGAGGCAGCGGCGTGGGCTTCAGCCTCTGGACACGTGACCCGTGGGGGGTCGGCGCGCGGCTGTGCGGCGCTGGTCCACGCCTGCCCGCGGGCTCAGCCTGTCCCTCCCTCGGGGAAGGTGCGACGGGGCCACAGCCCCTGCCCCCCAGGCTCCCGTGGGAAGGAGGCGCACGCGGGGCTCCTGCCGAAGGCTGGGGGGCCGGGGGCGGCCGTCCCGTCTTGTCCGGGCGAGGGCGGGGGCGTCGCTCTGCGGCGTGCCGGCTCTGGGGGCGCTCGGGGGGCTCTGGGAGGCAGCCTGTGCTCCGCCGTGCACTGGGCCTGGTGCGTGTCCGGCCAGGGTGCGGCCTGGGCGCCGACGGAGGGAGCCGGGGCAGCTGGGGCGGCCACGTCTGACAGCGCCCTGGGCCCACAGTTCCACATCAACGCCAGCTACCCGCGGGTGTGGAACATGCCCCAGACGTGGCAGTGCGAGCTGGAGGTCTACAAGGCCACCTACCACTTCATCTTCGCGCAGAAGCACTTCTTCACAGGTAGGCCGGTCGCGGCCAGCGCGGCCGGGCAGCTGGTTGGCGCCGGGCGCCCGCTGGCTGTTCGTGCTCTCCCGACCAGACGGGGAGCTGAGCCCGGAGCC